CGGGATGACTTTTGAGACGGGACGGGACACAAGACCAAAATTCAGTCCTAATTTTTTTTCGGGACGGGACACAGGATGGGAGTGTTCCAGACTCGGCCTGTCCTGTGAACATCCTTAGGTGGCAGAGAGAAAACGAGTTTTTAAATTATTAAAAATATAAAAAATATTGGTGGGACTCACAATACATTATTTTATAACAAAAAATATTAAGAAATTCATTTATGGGCCTAGCTAATTGGAAAAAAAAAGTACAGAAGGCTTTATTGATTAAGGGATATAAATTATTCATAATTAAATTTAAATTTAAGGTCATTTGCTAGCTTTTGTGACCAATTCAAGAATAAAGTTGACCTTTAATTTATATTTCTCTTATTCTTTTTATAAGTTATTTTTATTAATCACATCAGTACTAATACAAGAAAAGTATAAAGAATAAAAATGTGTAGAATTTTAAATATCTCTCTACATAACAAATCAGCAAAATAATGTTACATTATTTTTTTCATGAAGAATAATGTTAAAAATATATTTTGAATATTACTTAAAAAATTATGTCATAATTTGTAATTGTAATTAAATTAATCTTTTAAAATGTAATTTATGAATAAGATTCGAGAAAATATATATATATATATAGTAATATTTTAATATAAAATTTTGAAGGCTTTAAATTATATTCCTCTCTCGGTTTTATTTGACCGAGACTTTTCTTTTTAATTTTCCCCACGTTAAATCAAGTCACTTCACTATTGATCTCGATAAAAATGTGGTAATTTAATATTAATACATTGTGGAACAGCATTGCCCAAGATCGCGGTTTCTGATGTCTTTTCAAAATTTGACTGAAATCGCTATACTGGGAGCAATTTTCGGACAATTATTTAGTGAAAAAAATTTAAAATTCACCTCTCAAATATAGAGGCTTTGGTATCATAATCTATCAAACTTGTTTACATCAACGAGGATCAAACTGAATCGAATTGGCTTTTTAAGTTCAAAAAATCTATTGTCAAGTTTCTACTTTAGTGTATAAAATAATAAATCGAGCTTAAAATCATTGACCCTTATAAATAAATATATATATATATATTAATTTTAATATGAAAAAAATTAAATACCATTAAAAGTCTAAAACCTAAGTTTCATTTCATTCATTAACTGTATTCTCATTCCTTTTCCCTTTAATTGATCCTTCAATCTTCAATCAAAGGAGAAGAATTCAATTATATTAATGTTAATGATAATAATGCTAGCTGCTAGCAAAATTTAATTATTATCAATACTAATTTTGTGATATTATTAATTTTTATTAGATTTAAATTTGTTGTTTTATGAATTATCTTAAATTTATTTTTCTAAACTTAATGTTATATATAGAAACTTTTTTGTGATTTTAAATATATATTTAAAATTTTTAAATTAAAAAATATAAAAATAGGGCGAAGGGCTTAAGAGCCGGCCCTATAAAGGCTATTATCCTACCTATAAACAAAATTAAATTTAAGAAGTAGAATTGCCGGATTTAAATTTAACAAGTAGAGCTATTAGAATTAAATTTGCCAAGATATAAATCCAAATAAGCAGAGTTGTTGAATAGGGCCGGTTTTTAAAGGGCCTTCACCACCACAGGCACTTTTTCTATTCTTCAAGTTAGACCTATCAGTCTCCAACGTGATAGTATCTTCCCTTCTAATTAATATTCCGATTCACCTCATGCTTATCAGTAAGCTGGGAGCCGAAATGCCTAGTCAAATTCAGATCTGCAGCGACTTTAAAGATGAAAGATTAAGGGTCCTCAAAAGCCTCAGTATCAGCCTCCTGAAATAAGACTTTGCATCTATTCCTCCAGATGTTCTAGCAGGTAATGTGCAAGGAGGATGTCCCAAGGAACACACCTGATGGAAGAGTATCCCAATGATTCTGTCAAGTTCCATGCTATTCAGTCCCGTTGCTCCAAGTTGAGAAAATTCTGCGTACAGCCTGGGAGCACATACTCCTCCCACCATTTTCTAGCATGATGGCAGTCACGGAGTAAATGCATTGTGTCCTGCCAATGTGAGGCCTCTACGTACAAAGTTTAATATTACTACGTGCAAAGTTTATTATTTAACATCCCAAGTTACTATACCACTGGAAAACAAAAAAAGTTGTCTTTTGCTCAACAAAAAGAGAGAAAAAAGAAAGATACGTGGCTGTTTGTTTTAATCCAACATTTTGAGGGCTTTAAATTTATAACTTGTTTCATTTTTGTTGAGAAATCCAGGAAGCGAACAACATAACAATGATGATAATTACAAAACACAACATTTCTTGTGTTGGAGGATTACAAATAAAATCAATCTATTTGGTTGATGAGCAAACCCCATGGGGACTAACCATGAGATGATGACTGACTTAACCTATCCATTAAGATGGGTTTTCAAGCCTCTAATCTCTAAACATATATGGCACCCTTTATAAAGAACTTAGTATCCACAATTAACTATGATTAACTAACAACTAACCTTGTTTAACAACTAATTTTTCAACAATCTCATCTATTATTTTTCTCTCAATTTTATTTGACTGAGACCTTTTTTTTCCCAATTTTTCCAAGCTTAAATCAAGTCACTTTCACACTTGATCTTGAAAAAATGTGGTAATTTAACAAGAGTAGTGCTAGACAGCATTGCCCATGATCGCGGCTCTCGTTGCCTGTCGAAAATGGCAAAATTTGGCTGAAATAGGCAAATAGCTGTAGTGGGAATAATGTCCGGACAATTATTTGCACCATATATGGAAAGAGAACACGTCAGATTCACATTTTTGGGGGAAAAACAACCCCTTGGGAGATGTGCTGAAGGTTCAAAAAGCAGTAGTAAAGCACAAATAGTCGTTGAATCTTGAAACGGAGAAGGCAATTAGTTCAAGAATAATCAGATTGTGAATTTGTGATACGGCCGTAGTTGGATCATTTTACCAGTTTCCTACCGGTTGTGAGCCCATACACATTGATTTCTAGTTCATTGGTTTTGCCAATCTAAACCGTTTCCTAGTTTCAGTATTTTACATAGAATATCAGATCGGACAATGTACCGGTTTCAAGTCAAACAAGTCCATCCACTCGAGTTTTTAAATACCTATACACATAATCAATTTACACATGTTGGATAAAATCTGGAATCATATAATAGGTCGATACCAAAAGGAAAAAATAGAACTTTTGGGCTCTTTAAATTTACTTTAATTATTTATTTGGTTCTTGGAATTTAATTTTTTTCAATCAAGCTTTTTAATTTATACACATTTTCATATATTCATTTAATATTATGGGACAATTAATTTTTTGGGCAATTCTTGAAGAGGGTATCAGGTGTGTTTGAATTTCAATTGGGTATAATTAATTATAAAAAAATTAATTAATATGATTAATTTAAAATATAATTAATTATATTATGTGATATAAAATTAATTAATAAGATTGATTTTAATCAAAATTAAAAAGTACAATTGAAAATAAGGTAAAACCATGATTTTGTAAAAATATATCTAAATACACATGTTACATGTTGAAATTAATTATGAATCCAAAACTATGGTTTAAAAAAAATATCTAAACACTCATTATACATGCAAAAATTAATTATGAACTCAAAGCTTTTAAAAAATATCCAAACATCCACATACATTCCAAAATCAGTTATAAACACAAAACTATAGTTATCTCATAAGCTATTATTACTTGCTTTTCAATTCAATTTTTCAATTATACATTTCTAAAAATTTATCCAAAAATCATATAAATTATTTTACAAATCATATTTTTATGGTTCATAATTGATTTTGATATAATAAGAGGTGTTTGAATATTTTTAAGAAATCATGGTTTTAGATTCATAATTAATTTTAACATGTATGATGGGTATTTAGATATTTTTAAGAAAACAAGATTGTAAAATTTAAAATTGATTTTAAAATTATTTGAGTAATTTTTGTCAAAACGTGATTTTCATATAATTAATTAATTTTAAATGCAAATTCAAACAGACACATCATCCTTTGAGTTAAAGGTCACACCACACGGTAAGAGTAAAATTAGACTTTAGTTGGAAATTTGCAATCACGTGCATTGCTGCCAATACAAACTAAATTTTTAATTAAAAACAGATATTTCTTCACATTTAGTTTGTATCGTGCGAAAAATGACATTATTGATTGATGCCCCGACGGGAAAAATAAAGAATACGACAGGGGACAAATTATTATTTAAAAAATGAGCACTTTATTAAAGTTAATTAATAGGTGTGGTCACTTTCACCCAGCAACCAAGCCTGCCCAATTAATGGTTACCCGTATCCTTCTGTATTTTTGGCATTCCGGATCGATCAGTTGATTTAATCTAATAAAATTTTAAAGCATGACATTAATAAAATATTTTTATTACGATTGGTCTAGTGAAAAATGTTCTCAGATCATATGAAGGCCAATAATTTTTCAGGCAACAGTACGTAAAATGGACAAGGTGAATCCTTTCAAGCTACGGGAAAATTAATACTCTGTTCTGTTCCAATTAATTTAACAGCCTTTTCCTCTGCATATATATACCACTTTAAACACTGGTTTTACTCATAATCAGTTTACATATTGGATGAAATCAGGCTTCATGATAGATTGATAATAAAATGAAACGACCGTAAACTTGAACTTTGTTTTTTTTTTTTTCTGGCCAGAAACCAACATGTGGATGTTTATTTTAAGGTCTAAGTTGGAAGAAGAATCATTATTGATGAAAACTCATTGGTTTTTTTAACCTACGAAAGCTCCCAATTTCATTAATACGAAATACTAAATTAACAGTCTAATGCTTTGACTGATGACAACCCAAAGCACGATTTTGGGAATACTTCCTGACTACGGCAAAGAGGGAAAGCACAAAAACACACACTGATTCTACTATTATTTTCACACTCTGGAGATGGCCAAGAAGCCCGGAGGAGCCAGAGGTGTTTTTTCTGCATATTTCAAACCACCATGGATATGCCACCAGATTCCACGTCCTCACTAGTTGCTTTGACAAGCTTGAATATCACTGGACGTACGCTTCTGTCCTGTGTGACGACCAAACGGTAGTTGCTATACTTATCCAGCTTCAAAGCAACATATCCACACGAGGATGTTGAGTAACAGAAGACGAAGCTATAGAACTGGGTAGACTCATATTTCTTGATGTAGAAATAACCAGAACGAGGAACTGAAAATTCTTCAGGCTTACCAACCATCACCGGATCTGTGTCCAAGCCAGTGACACTTGCGACGATCCAACTGGGTGAGTGAGTGCAGGCATTTGAAGGCAATCTGGCGAACGATACGTTTAAGGGATGGTCGTCGGAGATGTGAAACAAACGGTATGGCGTCCCGATTTTCACTGCCCAGCCATTCTCGTTCAATGGTTCTGCAACGACAGCAAGGTAGCACGACCTACTTTTAGGCTTGTTAATGGTAGCACCCTTAATTGCTCCGCCTCCTTCACGACGGGGCAATAAGTAGTACTTGCCTCCATTGCTTACAATGTCACCGTCGGAGTCATATATAAACTCAGCTCCGGTGAAGGCAAAGAGAGCAAGGAAGAAGGAGGATGCGAGCAGTGCGCTAGTGTTCATTGTTTGCTAGGTTGCTCGAGGGAGACTCAAGGGTTTAGTTTTGGGTGTGAGGAATTGGCAAGAAGGAGCATTTACTTATAGAGAGAAAATGTCACCCAAGTTATTTGAGTTCCTACATTTTTTTTTTGAAAAATATAATTTTTAATTCTTATATTTTATTCATATTTTACTTTTAATTTTTATATTTTTTTATATTTTAGATTCCTACACTTTTATTTTTTATTATTTTCAATCTCTCTATAAACAAAATATAGGGACATTAGAAAGATCCAAAACAATGAAAAATAGAGTTGTCTAGATTTAAAATATTAAAAAAATATAAAAATTAAAAGTAAAATGTAAGCAAAATACAATGACCAAAAGTTATATTTATTCATTTTTTTAGTACTTTTAATTTATATAATTTTAAGAAGACTGGATGACCATTATTTTTAGATCCCTATAATTTTTATTTTTCAGTGATTTTAATTCTTATAAAAACTAAAAACACTAGAAAAAATCACAGGAATTAAAAGCAAAACTCAATAAAATTACAAGGGCCAAAGACTATGTTTTCTTTTTTTTTAATAGTCATAATATTATCAAGTCAAATATTTTTAGCATTTATTTAATGAAGGCTAAAGTATATTTTAATTGTCTGACCTTGTATAAAATTTTAATTTATTTTTTAATTTCATAAAGTATCTTTTTAATTTTTTTAATCATAACATTATTAGTTTTAAATAATTATTTTTATCAATCATTATTATTTTAAAAAAATTAAACTTAGAATGTCAAAATTTGAAAGTATTTTGTAATAAAACAAACTATATTAAGTTTAAAGGAATAAAAATACACTATAGAAAATTAAGACATCAAAATAAAGAGATTAAAAGACTTAAGATATACTTCAACCTTTATTATATTTTAAATTACAGGCTAGTAACTTGACACATTTATGGAGCTCAGTCCCCCCATGAACTGATAGTAAAACCTTTTTCGCCGTTGTCCATAGGTTTTTTCTTTGAGGTAATTTTGTTCTTAGTGGCAGTCACCAAATGAAATTTTAATTCTAATTTCAATTTTGTCCTAACAATGTTTAGTTCACGCATTCTGCTGGTGATGAAAAATTGGGTGAGATGAAAAACTTTCATGAATTCCGATGCGCCTCATTTCCCGGAAGAGTGAATTATACAAAGGAAGAAAAAGATTTCAAGGAGTATTCAGGCCAACATCGTTTTTTTTCTTTCAACTTTTATTATTACTTTCACTCGTTAAATAAAAACATTCAAGGATAGATTAATTTGGCATGAAAATATCGATTTGATTTGAAAATTAATGTTTCTTAAATTATCCTATGCTACAGGGCTATTACTTAATGGTGAATGACATTATTGGGGGAGTTTCTGTTGCCATCACGTGATCTGCCTCCATTTTAAAACTACATTGTTGGTCAATCTGGTCTGCAGAGAAAAAGCTGTCGGTCTTGAACGGAACAGAGTCACAACTTTCACATGCTTCAAAATGGGCCGGTGCGTACTCTCTCCTGTTCCATTTATACGTACATTTTAAAAAATTTACTTAATCTTTATTTATTCTCTTCATTTAAAAATATAAAATATTTTTTTAAATATTATAAAAAATTAAAAGTATAATTATTTTTTTAAAAGTACCGCTATTAAATAAGTTACATTATATTTTTTTAAAATAAACATTTTATTAAATAAAAATAAATATAAAAATATAAAATTAATTTAAAGATTATTTACTATTTTGTTGGGATAAAATTCAGTTAAAATGTCTTATAATTTTTAATGAAAGGAGCATAAATTATAATATAAATTTTTAAATAATATTAAAAATATATTTTTAAAATTTCTCTTTATAAAAAAAATAACATGAGATTTATTTGAGTCTAAAGTGTTTTTTATTATGGTTGGTTTAATAAAACATCAATTCCAAAAGCAAAAAGAGCAAGTGAAACCAAATTGTCAAGCCTAATACCAAATGAAAGCAAAGTTCAGCTTGTTTTCAAAAGAAGTCATGCCATGCTTATACTTATTATGACTCGTAAGACTCAAAATGAATGAATATTAAAGGCAGTTGAGTGGACATGTGATCATTATCACCATAAATCTCCTGAGGCTATGTTGAGTAATCACAAATTTATTGCACATGTGCTCTGGATTCTTCAAGCACAATAGTCTTAGATGTATAATTGCAAAAGGTGCTCAACTAACGACTGATAACAAGACAACCTACATAAAAAATTGTCTCATATTTAATTTTATAAATTATTTATCTTGTATTTCACAATTAAACTTAAGTTTATTTACAATTTATAAATTATAATCACTGTAACTTTGTATTTTATTTTTTTTATCAATCAAAAACTCCCTTTATGCCAATTTCTTTGCATTTTCACGTTCAGATAAATTGAAGGAAGTGAGTTCAAGGAGCTTGTATTCATCTTTAAGACTTTGCGTCTTTAACATGCTTCATTTTTATTATTCAAACACAATATTTAATTTATGAAGAACAATATTATTTTTAAATTTTTTTATATTAATATTGATGAGGTTAATAGAAATGATTTATAAAAAAATTGAAGTAACATCATATAAGTAGCTAGTATAATTGTAATATAACTTTCACTTGGCTTCATGAACTTGAGCTCTTATATATTTTTTTTAATAATAAATTACCCGGTGTCCCCAAGCCAAGTATTCACTGGATTGAGCCGAGTCAGCAAATATTTTTTTTTTTTTTTACATATAAGTTCCACGACGAATGGCTGTGGTACTTTCAGGACTCGAATTAAAGAATAATGAAAAATGGATATCAAGCTTTTCACATTTAAAATGTACTTTTAAAAAAATTTCAAATGTTAAAGTTGTTTGGTTGTTAAAAAAAAAAAAAATCGCAGCAGACTGAAAAAGTTAATTGAAAAAGTTAAGAAATGTATTTCCTAAGAACTTTAACTTTTTACTGACTCAACAGTTTTCATTTTTCAGTTTGAACGGAACTTGCTCTGGCTATAATACCCTGCAAATATTTTCTTACCAAAAACTTATATATTTTGAAGTTTGAACGGAATAATTCAATTATTTTTAAATTTTTCTAAAATCATTTTTTATTTTATAATATTTCCTACATTATTTTTATATTCTTTTAGAGATAGAATATTAATTATCGAAACCATTTATTTCTAAAATGTATTTGTTTAAAATATGATCATGAATTTATGGTTTCTTAGATATTTTTTTAACTCAAATATGCATTTCATTTCTCTTAAGTTTCCATTCATGATTTAGTATATGTGAATTATAAATTTATATAAATCAGTATACTAATAAATTTTTTTCAAAACTATGTTATTTATAAATTATTTTTTAAATATATCAATATTTGAATAACAAAAATTACTTACAATGAAACTAATATCCTTTCTAGTAATTTCACATTTAAAAGTAGCTTTCATTTTATATCATCTAAATACTTCATCCGTCCAAAATGTAAAGCATTTTTAATTGAATCTCATTCTCAATAAAGTAGTTACTTATCTTTAAACTAACCTTATTTTTTTATATTTATTCTTATTTAATAAAATAATTTATCCTAAAAAAATATAAAGTAATATATTTAATAGGGGCACTTCTAAAAAAGCAATGATTACGTATTAAAATATTCAAAATATTTTATATTTTTAAACATTAAACTCTTCAAAAAATGTCTTATATTTATAAATGGAGGAAGTAACTTTTAACTTGTTAAATTAACTTCTTAAAAAAAATATCAAGCAACACTCACCAAAAAAGTAAAAAATATATTTAAATACAAATTTTATTGTAATAAATTTTTTTATCAAACTAATTTTTATGAAAATAAATTTTTTTGGCAAGCGAAAAATTAAAGGGAGAATTACAGCTAGTCTTTTTTTAAAAAAATTAATCACAAATAAGAATTAAAGTGAAATATATCATTTTTAAAATAAAAATATAATTTATTTTTTTAAAATGAGATTTGTTATTTATTTTTATATATAATTAATTTTTTTAAGTGGAAGCAGACTGTGATTTTTCAAAATCAAAAGAGCCCTTCCGTTATTTTTTTTTTTTTTTTTAGTGGAAAAGGGAATCCCATCTAAGAAAACTGCACAGGTGGAGATAAAAAAATGGCAAAAGCCGAAAAAACTTGAATTTCAAAGGCTTTGTTGGTAAGGATCTCTCCTATCTTTTGCCATCATTGACAGACAAAATCATATCTGCCTTTGACGTAGTACTGTGGTTGTGGTGATAATTCAAATACTTTGATGTATTTTTATTTAATTTAATAATATTAAAGCACAAAAAAAAGCCCGAAGAAGGAATCCCTCTGAGAGATACAGTGTCCTATTGCCATATATCCGGCTTTTTTGGGATGAAAATTCAAATCTGACATCTCTTTGGCTGTGAAGAATCTTCGTACCAATATTCCTCAGAAAAAGAAAAAGAGTATGCACAGGAATCCTACACGGCATCATTGGCTGGCCTGAAAGCGACTAAACGGCAACACCTATTTATTTGGATAGCCTTGTTAGTCTGCCACTTCATTCATGACTTCCCTAGTTTCTCGTCTGAGCATTAATGAATAATATCATAAATTAATTATTTTGTCTGAGCATCAATCACTAAGAATCCAAAGTCTGGCACCAATCTTTTTTATTTTCATTTAAGCACAAGACAGAATGAGAAAATTTCAGTCCAAACCCTTAACCAAACATAATTACGCTAATATTAGGAAAATATCAAATAAACTTTCTTTTAAATTTAAAATTAAAAAAATTAGTTAACCATAAAATACACACGAGGCTCGGTTTTCGATGGGAGAGAATCCCTCTCGAGTTTTAGAGAGGCCATATTGGATTCAACAATTGGAATATTTTAGGATTTTAATTATTTCAATCTCCTACACTTGGAAGACCGGTCACCTTTCAAGCAACCCATATTTGCAGAAATGCAAGCCAGAAACAAGGCACAAGATAGTTTATTGGATAAGATGAAGCTGCAATAAAAAGAAATAAAGCCTAATGTGGTAGCAATAGGCTTCCTGGTTCGTAACATTACATAGTTAAGTAAACTTATTTCATTTAATTAAATAATTGTGATTTTGATATTTTAATTGATATGCTTTATAAATGTTCAGCTGTTTTTAAATCACATCTTTTAATATTACTTATCTAACTGGTTTAAGGAAGAGTGATTCCTTAGGACACGTTATATTATGAAGTCCTTATGTATATCTAAAAAGAGAGGGATTATCCTTCCTTTTAATTATAATCATCCCATTATCATTATTGATCCAAAATATAAATTTTATGCCCAAAAATTATTAAGCTATCTAAGTATTGATTTTATATTCACCACTCATTTTTCTGTGAGTCTCATAACTATTGTTTTATTATAAAATTTTTATAATCTTTTATTTTTTTATTTGCTACTGTATATAATAATTAAATTATTACTATAAAAAAAATAAAAAAAGAGGTCGGACACTAATTATAATAGAGGGTAGATTTGTTCAAAAAAATGGGCCCACTGTTTTACATGTAGAAAATTAAAAAAAAAAACTGGATGCCGCCATTTACTCTTTTAAAGAACTGTTGTTCTATAATAGCAATATTGATGGATTTTACAATATAAACTAGTATTAATCAATTGGTCCTCAACTAGTGTGCCAAGTTTTGATTTTACTTTGGTTTCTAGACTGGTAACTTTGCCGCAAATTTTCTGCTGACTTTCAGTGCCACCATTTTCTTTAAGTGATATTTTAATATTGTTGATGCTGATTCTTTGATTAAGAGTAATTCTAATTTTGTTAGACTGGCATATACAGGCTGATTGTTTTGATTTGTTTGCTTTGCTTTGTTTGTTGTTTGAGTCGTTGTTTCTTGTGAGTTGTGCGTTAACTTGTATTGATAATTTTTTTTCAAGTGTTTTTTTATTTCTTTTATTAATATTTTGACGATGAATAAAATTTGACTTTTTTTGACAAACTAAGGCCAACATAAATTAAGGAAGAAGTTGCATTCTTAGCCGACATAAATTATATTGTTGTTGCATCAATAACTCATGCTAGGAATACACCAGGTCCCCAGACGTGGGCCAAGAGAAATTTTCTGCTTTCAACCCTTGTTATACTCAATTTGATGTATTCCTTGACCATGTGTTTCATGTTCTCATTTTTTCCGGGAATATCAATTTTTTAATCTTCACTTTTTGCACGATCCAAAATGTATCAGAATTTTTTCCCCCCAAGTTTCTAATATGTTATTAATACAGCGTAACTTTTGAAATTTTGAAAGTACTGGTACATTCTAAAATATATGTTGGCTGATAAAATAATTTACTTGGTCTTCAAGGCACAACAAAATGCAGGGAGGTTAATTAAATTTGACACCACAGCTTAACTATAGGGATTAATGTTTTGAATTCATAGATCTCTCCAACACTTGGTCATGCTCATATTGTGGGTTTTGACTGAAGTTGCAGTACAGGGAATAATTTTCGGACAACTAGTTGTATCGTATATGGATAAATAACACGTGAGATGCACATTTTTGGGGAAAATACACGACCAGTGGTTGAATCGGAGAAGGCAAATAGTTGAGTGTCAATGTTCGGATAGAACCGTGGTTGGATCATTATACCCATACAAATTGATTCCCTGTTGATCGGTTTTCCCAAATTAAACCGGTTCCTACTTTTACTTCACATTCAATATCGGTTCCGACATTAGGCCTGTTTCAACTTTCAAGTCCAGATACCCGGTTTGGTCAAGTTTTTAAAAACTGGCTCCACTCATAATCATTTTACGCCTGGGATAAAAATAAAATCAGTTTTCACGATAGATTGATAATTAAAGGAATAATGAAATTAAGTGATTAGATTATGTGTTTCAAACCATAAAGACCAATTATACATGATTACGAAGATTTACTTATTTTATTAAGAAAAATTAAATTTTAAAAATCAAACTAATAATTGAAGTAAATAGAAGAGACAAAAATTTAAATAATATAATGAAAAGATCATAAGCTTAATTGAACTTTATCACACGTTAGTGATTTGAGGGAAAGTTGAAGCAACAAGCTAACATTATATTAAGGTTGAAATTTCTCAATTTTAAAATTTTAATGCATCTTCCCACAATCAATCGACCAACGTTCGATCGACATATATAACAACCGAGAAATTCCCCTTAAATCTTTAGCTTGACTTGACAATTAAAACTGCATATTCTTGATTGATTGCGATCACATATATATTGTTTTAATAAAACCATATTTTGATAAAATTAAAATTAATAAGGAACGTCGAACAACGATTATACTCCAGATTCATCCTCCCCGGGGGTTTTGGTCTTCGGTTTTGATTTATCTCTCGTCTTAAATTCTTTTCAACTTTCAAGATCAACACAACCAAAAGCATTAGTTTAAGTGTTTAGCATCACTACGTACACAGTCTATTATTTAACATCCCAAGTGACTATACCACTCGAGAACAAAAGCGAGGTGCAAACAAATTTAAAGCTTAGTGAAAATAAAGCATAAGAACATAGATGTAGAGAGACCTTGCAAGCAAGGCACTAGATATTTATTCCATATTAGATTTCACCTACTTCACGTCAACACATTGAAACAAAGCCATGAAGTAACATGCTTGGGTCACATAACAGTAGAACAACACATGAGTAAGATTGTATCAATCTGCGATTTGAGGGTTAGCAGAAGCAGAGGGACATTTATCATAGCAGAAGTTGGTGGTATCAGCGCAGTGACATTTGGGAGGGTAAGAGCGCGTGCAGAGACAGAGCTTGCAGGCCGAGTGGCAAGTGTTCTTCACATCCTCGCACCTGCATTTTGGCGGGATTGACCTCGTGCACGCGCATCTGTCGCAGCACGCGCTTGTCGTCGACTCCGCCAAATAGGCGGGACCGCCGTCGTTCATCACCTCAGCCAGCAAGGTGTTCGGGTCGAAGCGAGCCTCCACATTCGCAGCAAAAACCATCAGGAACAGCACCAGAGCCACCTTCATTGTCACCTTGTTGCTCAAACCCATTTTTTATCTCTCTCACTCTTCTACTTATCTCTCTCTATGCTTGAGTTTTGCTAGTGAATAGGGAAGCAGGTACTCAGGGTCATTTGTAATCATTTCCAGGGATATTATGGACTTTACGAATAAAGATTATATTTTGAATTTTTAATAAAATTTAATATTATTAATATCAATTCAAGAGTGATAAAAATGCAACTTTGAAACCGAAAGTCATCTCAGTTAAAAAAAAAAAAAACGAAAGAAACCGAAAGTCATCACAGGAAGCTGAGAGGAAATCCTGCACACAGTAACTTTCTCCAATAGCCTATTTACAAAGACATTATTTTATTTATTTATTTATTTTTTTTCGAATTGACACACTTGCTGACTTGGTTCAAAAACCCAATTCATAAAGCGTGCAAGACAAACAAGAATTTTGTAAGGTAAGCGACTTTTTTTATTAAAAAAAATAAGGGCAGCTGAAAAATATTTTTTTAATTCTATTTATATTTCATTTTAATTCTATTTATAAGATATTTTAATAATCATTATATTTTTTATTTTTATCTTTATAAATATTGAGAAATTTATCAAATGTTAAAATATTTTATTTTTAACATATATATTTAATAAGAATATAGTTAAAATCTTGTTAAATTTTTAAATATAGTTAATAAATTTAATATTTTCTTCTGTGAAACATGTTAAAAAAACTTATAAATAGGATCGAAAAAGAATAATTTTTTATTATTTTTCCCCATTTTGATAGAAATCTACATTTTTGACACAGTAAAATTTTATATTTGGGTTTCTGTTTGTTATGTCTGAATCCTTTACAGTTTACTCTATCTTTTTTTAAAAAAAATGAAAAAAGATCATGAAAAAACGTGTAATGAGACAAAAAAAATTACACCACGTCAGAAATTATAAGGTTTTTGTTGATAGTTTTATAAGTTAGTAACATTTAAACTTCCGAGTGGGATGTTCACCAAAAATAAGAATAAAAACTTCCCCGTGGGACATTGCAGGTTGATCGTGCATGTAATTTATGAATTGCCCCTCTAATTAAGAAAAAATGATAAATTTTTTGAACATTTAAACTTATTGTAGATAATTAACGATCATGACACGGATTCAGTAATTGTAGACATGAAGTGCTTGTATCATTTAAGTCATTAAAATCTATTTCAATGATTTAAATGAATGTATCAATTCATTAATCTCAAGTGAGAATGATGAATTTAAAATCATTAATATGAATTGCAATGATTTGAATAATTGATGATATAAGTACTCAATACCTATATTAAATACAGTCGTCAATTCCAAATTCAAGATACTCGTAGATAGATATTCGAGCATCTTTATATTCTTATCGTGATCCAAGATTTTTTTTGAACGTTTTTCTTTACTTAGAATCTATCTATTTCATCTTATATATGCATTATTTCCATCAAATGGCAATAATTAAAGATCAATTTTTTTTTCCTTTGGTGAAATGGTAAAAAGTTATTACTAGTTAAAACTTGATTAAACTTATATAGCCAATCCTAATGTTAATTTTTTTAATCAAATTTAGGCCAGGTCAAAATTATAAACTCTATATACATATAGAATCAGAAATTCTAATAGTTAAGCTTATTTGAGTCGGTTCAATTCGGATTATACTTATTCAAATCAAACTTAAAAAACCATACTCTCTAAAAAAAAAAAAAACTCTTACAGCCAGACCTGACTTTAATTTTTTACGAGCAGGTGAATTGCTATGTCTAGTTAAAACTTCCCAAGTATTTTCCCCCCTACTTACTTTAGGGACATTCTGGTCAATAAGTGTTGAATGGCAAGGTCTACTTAAAATTGAACCCAGCGTCCACCAAGTTAAAGATCAAAATTTATTCAACCTCCTCCTGGACTATCACTGCAAATGCCCACTATAACCAAAAAAAAAAAAACTTTTTATATGGGCAATGTTGTTTTAAGCGTGCCATTCTGCATCGATTATAAACAAAGGGCTTTCACGGATGCTCCCGTTTCATCATTAATCATTAATTAAATGGTAAATAAAGTGCCGTGTCAATTCAAAATTTTCATACATTTCAAAGAAAATCATGCATGTCCAACATATAGATTCTATTGTATTATACAAATGTGTGTGTGTATTAATTTTAAGAAATAATATGCGAATTGTTCCTTTTATTTTCCCCCCTTTGTTTCTATCATCACAGATATACTAGTCAAGATCCTTGCTTCTGCAGATTCATATTCATCCATTCCTTGGAGAGTTAAAAACAGGAAACACAGAAGAGTTGAAAAACTGAATTAAAGCCTAAGGGTGCCAATTTATTTAAGAGCGACAACCTACAATAACACCATTAAATCCCTCCTACATTAGCTGAAATTCTGAGAACCCGCCGGAGAGAAAATATAAGCAACAGCAGCCAGCCAACTCGATTCATATAATACTGAACTTTCCTTTGTCAGAATCAGCTTTCACGAACGCGACCATGAACACATTTCCACTGCTTTGCTTCTCCACAACCAGATTCCTGCTTCCCTCCGCCTTATAATCAACCCCAACGTCATAACAAGCCCCAGAAGAAGAACTAAAGACATTGCTCTTGCTACAAAACACAAGCTTGTATGCGATTGCGTTGAACACCTCGATCCTGAAAACCCCACTCACCAACTCCGAATCTGGATGATCTTCAGCCCCACCAATAACCAGCCTCGAGGAAGACGATCCAGATCCATCATAAGCGACCACCCACTTGGATGATTCTGCACAGTCTGGCTTCTCCACGAACTCGATCGCTAGAGCAGTAGAACCTGGATATATCTTGTCCTTGCTTGTCCCCTGAACATGGAATTTCACTGCAGCACCCTTGTTCTTCTCTGAACTTTCTTGCAGAACAGAATAGGCACAAGAGGAAGCATCTCCGGCTCTTCCTGGTTTAACCCCGCCTCCGGCATCAGCTCCCCAGACGGCTGACATTATGTAGTATTCTTGACCAGGGACGATAGGTTCTCCATTAACGTCGTTCACTGGTTCTTCTTCAGAAGAGGCTGAGGCTAGCGATAGTGGGTTGAAGGTGGTGAAGGAAAACCAAAGGAGAAAGGAGAGGGCTATGATTAGTGACCTGGCAGGCATCTTGGCTCTTACCGTATTACTCTCTCTTCAGCTACTTGAAATCTGAGAGAGACACGACCTGGGCATGATATTTATAATAGAGAGAATGAAAGAAACTAAGTAAGACGCGTGTCACTGGATGCGGAGGTTCATCGATCTCTAAACCTCTATGATCAGATTTTGATTGAGGGCAAGTGCATACTCATCGGCATGCAGGCTGCCACATCAAGTTATTAACGAATGTGTGTCGCCACTGAGATATCCAGCTACTGTGACTGTGGAGCTCATGAACATATTTTATTGAAAAAATTATGTTAGAATTTCACACAACAAAATTAATTATTACAAATTTTATTAATAATAAAACTAAAGTTATTGATAATATATTATCTTGTCAAAATATTAATTTAATTGTTAATAGGTTTTATAATAATTTTTTTATATAGAACCTATATATAATTTCCCCTATTTTATTGGAAGAATTGCGTTAAAGTTATCAAGTTTAATTGCTAATAAATTTTATAGTAATTAATTTTTTATAAGGACTTATATATAATTCTCCCTATTTTATTCGCTTTATTTCTCATTTTAACTGATATGAGTTATAGGTATTTTGTAGAAGTTGAATTGATTTTAATTTATATCTCATTTTTTTATATTTAATTACAATGTAAAATAGCAAACTCCATTATAAAATTCACCTATATTATATTTTCTTTATGCAATAAATAAAGATTAAAATATACATTTAGTTATTTAATTTTATACAAAATTTTATTTTAGTCTCATAATTTTATAAACTATTTTTTTAATTCTTTAAATTTAACACTGTTAGTTTCATTCCAACAAATTTTTATATTAAACTTTTAAATATTGACAAAACATTATTAAATATTGACATATTAAATTTTATTTTTTAAAAATAATAGTGATTGATAAAAAAAATATTTAAAACTATCAATATTAGAGTTAAAAGATTAAAAAAATAATTTATAAAATTAAAGAATGAAATTAAAATTATATATAATGTTACAGAATTAAAAGTATGCTTTGGCTGTTAATAAGAGAGAGAACAAAAATTAAAGTCGTGGATCCCACGTAGTCGAAAAGGAGCAGCATTTGTAAAAGAAGTATTGCAACAAAGATGAGCTAAGTGCTTGGTCAAACAATTGGAGGCACTCTTCTAATACTTCTTCAATTAAAAAATATAAAATATCTTTATTAAATTTTATTTTTAATAAAATAATTACTTATTTTTTAACTAACATTATTTTTTTATATTTATTTTTATTAAATATCTTATAATAAAATAAAGTTATTCTCAATAAGGGTACTCTTAAAAAAAATAATGATTACACTTCGAAAGATTAAAAATATCTTATATTTTTAATATCCAACTCCTCAAAAAATACCTTACATTTTTTAATGAAGGGAGTATTTTTTATAAATTATTTTTATTAATTTTATTAATATCAATATAAAAAATTTAAAAGAATAAAAGTACGTAAAATTTTAAATATATTTTTATATAAAAAATTAAAAAAATAATATCATATTATTTTTTCTCTCTTTTAAAGAGTAATTTAAAAAATTAAATATTGTTTAAAATATTATATTATGGTTTATAAATGAAATTAAATAGTAAACTTTTTAAAACGTGCCTGACAAAGGAGACAACTTTTTAAATATTATGTTTGATTTGAACTTGCGACCCTGATCTTTCTACTATTTCTATATTTTATTATTTCGAATGATATTCCGCGTGCTTTCTCGTACCATCACGCGATTCGCCTCCCATTAAATCTCGTCGTGGTTCAATCTGGTGTACAGCAAATCGCTATATCGAACTGAACAGAGCATCCACTTTCACGTGCCTTGAAATGATATCGCAGGTGTTTTACGTACTACTTTTGCCTGAAAGTTTCACGTGCCTTGATATGAGTTGCTTGTATTTTTCTTCATCTAACGAGCTACAAATATTTATTGATGATTAAACTAAGATCATTCACAATTATAACTTCTCTCAATTTTTTTATGTTTTTTAAAAATAAAATTTCGTTGTTGTTTTATCTATTGAAAAACATTACTCTAATATTTTTTTTGTTATTCCCTCCAAAAAAAATATAAAATATTTTTAATTAAATTTTATCTTTAGTAAAGTAATTACTTACTTTTCAACTAATTCTATTTTTTTATATTTACCCCTATTAAACACCCTACAATAAATATAAAGTCATTATTAATAGAGAAACTTTTGAAAAAAAGTAATAATTATACCGCAAAAAATAAAAAATGTTTTATATTTTTTAACATCTAACTTTTCAAAAAATGTCTTACATTTTTTAACGAAGGGAGCATACTTTTATTATTAAATGGCTTGATCCATAGGAATGTTGGGCTTGTTACAATTGTATTTGTCACGAAGAATCTGGACCTAAAGGCAGATTGGTTTTGTGATTAAACCTCAATATAGCTTCATGATATCAGCTGTATTTTGACTTTTAAGTTTCTTGTAGCTAGGACCACCAACTTTTTTATTGTTAGTGATGCAATTCTAAGATATGAGGTGAGGTTTTCTGAATCCAGAAGAATCCCAAAGGAAGTCTCTAGAGCTTCTTTCTAAATCAGCTAAAACATTATCTGATAGAAATATAGTCTGCATAATATAACTAGGAAGAACAGAGAAGATAGAATTTATAAGAATAGATTTCCTTGCTATAGTGAGATAACGACCCTTCCAATTTGATAAAAGAGATTTTGTCTTGTCAAGGAGGGGTGCAAAATTTAATTTTGAAGGTCTCTCATAAATTAAGGGAATGCCAAAATATTTTCTAAGATTGCCTGTTAGTGAAATTTTCAAGTCCTCACTAATCTACATGGCCCTGTTTATATTAACGTTACAAGAACAGAAGAGTTTGGATTTAGATAATATACTTACTAATATATTTATTTTTAAGCAGGCTTTTAAATAGATTTTCAGATCAGGTCAGGCTTTAGATAAATTCAAGCTTGAATTGTAAAAAAAGTATTATACAGGCTTCAGATCAGGCTCATGTCTCTAATTTACCTCATAGACTCAAGCTTATTTAGTTAAAATTTAATTTGACCTAGTCTATTTCTATTTTTAACCTCAGACACTTTTTTTTTTATTTGGCAGAGAAAGGATGTATTATCATACGGTCATCGTCTGATCAAACCCAATATGCGGTGAGATCAGTAGATTTCTACAATATCTAATTTTTTCCTTTCAGTAATTATTTACTAGTTTCGCCCCAAAAATTTGCCAATCAAATGGTAGAATTTACCATTCATTCGGTGGGTGTTTCTTTTTTCTGCACATTTGTACTAACTGAAATTAAAGGAGATAATAACTCGTGGCTGCAGATATGTGAATGCTATGTAATTAATCTCTCATGGTATTGCACTATTTAAGCCACTTCATCTGTAAATCACAATATTTGAGCTGCAGATGTAACAGAAACACTTCTAAATGTTCACAAATTAGCATGAATTTTTGGTCCAAGTTCATCATAGACCTGGGACGTCATTTGACTTCTTCAATTGTAATTGTAAGTTACAATATTCTACTTTCATTGTCCCTTGGCGCCTTAGTAACTCAGATTAAGTTACTATAAGAATGTCTAAGCGTGAGTGAACATAAAATATTAAATAAAGTCTTATATTAAATAAAGTTAAGTTTAGTTATTAATATATAAAAAAAAATAACTAAATCCAACTCGTTCTAATGTTGTTTATAAGAGAGAGAATGATTTTTTATCACGAGCTATGCCAAATACAATTCTGATAGATAACGAAACTACTTTTTTCTCTATTGCTACATTGTGCATACATTTACAGATGGTATAAGGTTTATTTATGCCTGCAAGTCACAGCTGACTCTCTGGTTTGATTAACGTTAAAATATTTCAGCGTTTTTCAACAGGAAAACCAATAACAGGCTCAATCTTTGAAGCCATACTTCTCAGCTCAGCCACTTCATCATCATTTAGCCTCCAACCAACTGCACCTACGAATTCCTTAGCTTGCTTTGCAGTTTTATAGCTCCCGCAAAGTAATTAAACTTTAAGCCCTGCGGCATGTCCTTATCTCAATAAGTTCATAAGGCCAATGTTACCCAATTTTTCAGGCAATACTTTTCAGATTTTCTTTATAAATAATTTCTACCAACTTTATTAATATTAATATAAAAAAATATAATAAATAAAAATGTATGAAATTATAAATATATCCTTATATAATAAATTTAAAAAGTGATATTATATTACTTTTTCTCTTTCATAAAAAATAATTTTAAAAATATTTTTTAAATATTACTTAAAAGGTCGCATTGTAATTTATAAATTGAATCAAATATATATTTTAAAATATGACTTATAAATGAGATAAAAAAAGTAAATATCAAAGAGCAAGTTGTGCCTCTTTGGTGGGATCTCATTCTATCGTCAATCAATGTTCAAGTGAATTTAAGTCAAAATGAAAGGTGTCACATCATATAAAGTTGAGTTTAATAATTAATACTTTTTTGATTTAAAATATACTCACTCTATTAAAAAATATAAGATATTTTTAATTAAATTTTATTTCAATAAAGTAGTTACTTACTTTTTATCTAATCATATCTTTTCACATTTATCCTATTAAATACCCTATAATAAATATAAAACAATTATTAATAGGGGTACTTTTGGGAAAAAAGACAATAATTACACCTCAAAAAATTAAAAATGTCTTATATTTTTTAATATTCAATTCCTTAAAAAATGCTTTATATTTTTTAATGGAGGGTGTTTTCATTTTACTTTAGCTAATATTGATTTAAAGTATAAGTAATTTAATACATGTAAAAAATATTTTCTCCGTTTTACCTTATACTCATTAACATATATCCTTGTATAAAATTATCTCTCATTCATCATGAAGTGCTTTAGTTATTAAGAGTAAGAGTTAAAAAAATAATATATATTTTTATCATGATGAAAATTTTATTAGTATGTAAAATTTTTTCAATTGCGTATATTTTGGACGCGTATGCTCCCTCCACTCCAAAAT